TCCATTTTAGGCTGCGACAGTCTCCTACAACCCTCTGCTAGCGAAAACGGAGCTCAGGAGGGCCATTTTAGCTAGCAGAGGCACCACAGGTGGGTATTTTGCTGTTTCCAGGGCAGCAGCCCTGTGGGCCAGATCTAAGCACCAATGGGCTGGCTCTGGGCCCCGGGCCTTGAGTTTGACACCCTTGGCATAGAGGCTCTTCATTGGACACCAGAGAACCTTTTAGCTTGATTTATGATGTCAATAGAGATCCCGTTCTTGGTCCTGTGTAAGAACATGTTTGGTCCAATGTGTGTGGACCATTTGATGCATCTTCTGGAAATTTGAGAAGGTGGGGCATGACCAGGCCTTCCAGCAACTTCATCGCCCTTGAGTGTTGCTCTACTTTCCTAATGGCCATGTGAAAACTCTGGGTTGGGGATATGAGATCAATTCTGTTTTGCTCAAGATGAGTAAAGTGGCCAGAGGGAGCCTGAAAGCCATGGGCCAGGAAGCACGCTGAAGAACAAAGTTATCTGTGGAGAGGATGGCTCTTTGCCCTCTCCCCTTCCCCCCTCCCCAAGCTGGCTTTGTAGAGCCAAGGTCCACATGTACGTGGGAAGCTGTTTTCTGAGTTTGCTGTAACCTATTTAGGTGGTCATTGGTCCCTGCAAGTAAGGCAAGAATAGGAGACACACTTGGTGTGAAGAGAGTCCGTCTCTTCAAAAGAACTCAGGTCAGATTAAAAACAAGACGAGCATCTTTCCTTCCTTCCTTCCTTTTCTTCTCCTCCTTAGGACTCCAGCTGTGCTCTCGGACTCTGGCCTTGGAGGTGTCAGTGGGCAAAGCACCTGTCATTTACGCCAAGAATGGCACCAATGTGCTCCTGCCCTGTACTTTCACCTCCTGCATCGGCATTGAGAAAGCCACCTTCGTATGGAGCCACAATCAGACCGAAGTGCGTGGCCTGCGGTGACTGACAATGGGCCGGGCTGGGAGGGGGGCCGAGGGGCTGATAAGGCTGCTTTGCTTTGAGTCTTAGACATTTTGATGAAGCTAAGAAAGCAGAGACACCTTGAAGATGAATAGATCTACAGGTAGTCCTTGCTTAACAACTGCAAATGCGACCGGCAGCTTCATCATTAAACAATGTGGTCAGTAAACAGGATATCCTGTGACCATGGCTTGTGGTTTTACTGCTACCTTCTCCATTGACTCTGCTTGTCAGAAGCCGGGAAGCAAGTGGGAATTACGTGACCGGGGGTGGGGGGGGGGGTGGGGGGGGGCAGTTGCAAAAGCAAAGCCTCCCTGGTTGCAAGTGTTGAGGACTGGTGACACAGTTACTTTCCAGTGCTTTTGTAGCCCTGAAGAGTCGCTGAACGAGGCAGTCATTAAGCAAGGTCTACCTACACTATTCAGTTATGAGATCAATTCCTTATTCTTGTGGGTGATGGGTGTTTTTATGAATGGCAGTGAACGGTTGAAGGCAGCCTTCGCGTTGATAAGGGGCCTTGCCTGTCTCCACCTACCAGCTCTGCAGAGTCTGGGCTGCCACTTGGTCTGCTTGGAGGGCAGCCAGAGAGCCCGGACAATCCCTCCCCCATCCCTTCTTCACAGGGCAGTCTCTGCAAAGGAGGGGAGGGGAGGTCCCTCTGCTCCAGGGCCTGGGGATGGAGATGATGGAAGCAGTCAAAGTCCTCAGTCTTGAGGGGAGGCACGGCGTCCCCCCCATTCCCCCAAAAGGGGGTCCAAGTGTGGAGGGAAAAGGAAAACTGGGGTCCTTATGGGAAATTCTGCATTGCCAGGAAGCATCCCACTGTCTGCACAGCAGGAGGGGGAGGAGCGGGGGGGGGTATAGTCCCCTTCAGCTGGCCCCACCCTCAGCCCCTTTGTGGGGGGACGCTTGGTGAGCTGCGTCAGGCAGTTCTTGAACAGTGGAGAATCTCCCTGGCGAAATCCCACCTGGAGGGAAGGTTTTGAGAGCCATGGCTTCATTCACTGATCTCCACCTGCTGCAGATATTCAAAGGGCTGGTAAAGAACAAAGACTCCAAGCCGGAGCCTCATCCAGACTACAAGTTCAGCCTTAAGCACATGTTGCCACCTGACCTGCCCCTCAGCAAGGACAACCGGGAGTTCAACGTTTCCCTCCTGCTGCTTGATGCCGACTTCGAGGACTCCGGGCCCTACACCTGCTTGGTCAAGAATCCCAAAGAGAAGGACGCCAACCACAGTGGCACCGTTACTCTCAAAGTGGTGGTGAAGTGTGAGTAGCAGCCAGGCCTTGGGTCCTGGCCTTGCTTCGGTCGTGTACAGGCAACCGACCGAGGCAGGACTGCATTTTCCAGCTCCGCAGCTGGGGTGGTGGGAACAGGCCTTCCTCTGAGCCACTGGCTTGTGGGGGAGCCCGTGGCTCCTTTCTCCCTGACCCTCCCTCCCTTCTCTGCCTCCACAGTGGAGAAGGTTGACAACACACTGACACGGATCATTTTGTCTGTTGTGGGTGGCATCATTGGGCTCATCATCCTCATCATGGTGACCAAGAAACTAGTCCTCTTCATCCTCAAGAAGACGCGGAAACAGAAGTGAGTGTGCTTGCGCTGCCTTGGGTGGGACATGGGCTGGGTGAGTAACAGGTCCTGAAGCGACAGCCGTCTGGTCCTCGGCTGGCCCTCCTGCCACGGGGGACTCCTCCAGGCAGTGGAGCTCCCCAGAGGCCTTCCTCCTGGATGCCGGCGAGTCCCGGGAAGGCCTCTGCTTGGGACCCCCAGGGCGAAGCTGGACTGAGCCCGTCTCTTCTCTGTCTCCTGCAGGGAGTGCCTTGTGAGCTCTTCAGCAAATGAGAACACGGAGAATGGGCTGCCGGGCTCCAAAATAGACTCTAAATCGGCCCCAAAGGCCTGACTCCACGAGGCGCAGATTTCTGGGCTCCAAACCCTCCAGGTTGATCTGCTGGACTCCACCAAGGGCAGGAGAAGACCCCCTTTCAAGCCACCGATGCTTGAGACACAACTATGTTACTCAGCTGGCTGCAAACAAGCGCTGCTTCTTGGGAGAAACTGCAGAGGCGGATGACAAGCCTGGCATTGCGCATGTCTGAAGGGCGAAGGGTTCTGGACTCGGGCAGAGCTTCCGTTTCAAGAAGCCCTGCAGCTGCAGGGATAGAGCAGATGGGCACTAGACCAAGGGCCTGGCTCTCCTTCCGGCAATCAAACGCCATCAGCATCGGGGAGTGGGGTGGAGGCTCTGCCTCGCTCCCTCAGAAGGCAGCGGAGGAAGGGACGACCGAAAGGGCAGGGCGAGAAGCTGGCTCTCCTTGACCTGCATCGAGTTCATGGTCGTCTGCATCGTCCTCTCCAGGGGCTCTTTGGCGTTTCAGGATTGGGGCCGGCTGCATCTGGACGCGGGTCTTTCTCCAGGCCTCCTCCTGGCAAGACGGCGGAGCAGATGTGCAGCAATGCCTCAAGGGATGGGGGCTGGAGGGTCTCCTTTGCATGGTCTCGTGGTTTTAGGCTGCCCTTGTTCAAGGAGAATGCCCAAGGGCTGCCCTGCCATGCTGCCGTTTCTTCCCCTCAGCTTCTCTCCGTTACTTGCATGCCCGTCCCCTGGTGTCCTCCTTGCCAGGGAGAGGGCCCCGACAGGAGCCTTTCGCCTGAGCACGACAAGAGCAGCATTTCTAAGGCCTTGTCACTAAATCCCCCCCTCCTGGCCCAATTTAATACCCCAAAGAGCACATTCCCTGTCGGCTGCCCGGGTGAACAAGATGCCAGATTGGTCAGGTGCCAAGTCAATATGGTTGAGGAGCCGCTGCATCCTGCTCACCCCGGCACCCCCTCCCTCCCCTGGCTCCCTGCAACTGGCAGCCTTTCCCCCCCCACACACACGACTAGCAGCCAGGCCCAAGGATGCCCAGAGACCTCAGGCCGTTTCCCCACCCTGCTTAATTGCCCCTCTGCTGGAGGCAACAAGTCTTCAGCTTTTCTCATTCCGTCTGAGGTTTCAGGGGAGTCGTTGCCAGGCGTAGCTGTTGTGATTGCAAAGAGGTGCCCCCCTCCAATACGTGTGTCAGCTGCATTCACTACCAAACGTATGAGGTGTCTCCCCCCCCACCCAATACATACGGGGTCTTACGCCCTTGTGCAGAAAAAAAGCCTTTCACAGCAAGCTGAATTAACCCGAGTGGTGATGGGCAGAGGAATCGGCCAGGAATCTCTGGTCTCTTCGCTCTTCTGGAAGATAATAGGAAATGACCTCATAGGAGGGAAATGAGTTCACCTGAAGGATTCCAACAGAAACTCTGCCACTTCCACCCTCCCTGCCTGGCTACAGGCGGCCAAAGGCCCATCAGGCTGCCTCTGGGGCTGGGAGCTCAATAATGTAATGCCGAAAATAAACCCAGCAGAGAAAACGGAGGCTGCTGCACGCTTTCCCCACCCCGTCCTCTCTCTGCCCAATCATTTCAGGCTCACACCGACACCAAGGCAAGGCCCTCCGCGAGCCACTCTTAAACCAACCCGGGTGAAGAAGCCCAAGAGTGGCTTTCCAGCTCCACTGGCCCTGGGGAGGGCTCCCTTTGCCCAAGGACAAGACCCACCCACCCAGGTAGCCCAAATGGCCAGCCATTCTGAAGACTCTGAAGACTTCCCGCCTTGTAGCCCCAACCTCTATAAAAATAATCCTGGCTGCCCCATAGTTTGGGGCCCCTCTTTCTTGTAACGCAGACACTCAGCAATCCTTGCAATAAACACAGTTCTTCTCCCTAGGGGTCTGCTTTTTATTTTGGCAAAAACCCACAGCAGTATACTATATGCACCTACATGCACAGGCCAGAGAGCTAACCAATGGGCGCGGGTCGGGAGTGCAGGGAAGGGTTGGGATTCCGGGGGAGACAGTAAGCCATTCCATTGGGGGGGGGGTGTCCACCATCTCTACTGTTTGTGGGAGAGGCAGATATGGTGGTGGGGGCCAAGGGCCAAATTATGTTCGGGGGATGCGGGTCCGCTGTTTAAGAGCGATCACGTGTTCCGACCCTCGTCACCCTTCTCACCCCCCTGGGTGCTCGGGATTACAGGACCCTGGTCTCCGGCTGGTGTCGCTTAATGCCAGGTCCATGGCTCCTCTCATTTACGACCTCATACAAGAGGGTTGAGC